GTAAACAGTTATAACACCATCATCTCCTCTTTCTCCATCCCTTTTTTTCTTTTTCCTGTAGGGCTTTCTTTGCCAGGTGTATGCAGACGTGCTTACATAGCCTTGAGTAGGCCTACCTGATGGAAGCCCATCTGAGAAAGTAAAAAGGAAAATCTAATTTAAGTCTTGATTAGATTTAGGTATGGTACAGCAGCACAGTTGCTCGTGCTGTCAAAGACCATATACTACATCTGGGCATACACATGGATAGGCCTTTAGTTGGCATGTAGGCGTGTTTGAGATTGTGTGAGGGCTCTCACAATTTCCAGGATGTACCTCAGCCCGAGCTGGCCCCTCTGCCTTGTGCAGCGTGAAAGGGGTTTTGCCATGTATGGTCACTTAGCCACATGTAAGCTGGGCTGTTGTTTTGTGTAGCGCTAAAATGAGACAAAAAGAATCCACTGAAAAGGAATCTTAGTCCTTTGCCACAGAAAATTGGATGGTTTTTTTTCAACTAGGCAACAAACTGTCCTGGAAACCAGCTTAGCCATCGGAAGTATCTTCTTAACATGGAACACTACAGAACAAACAAGTTTCCCCAATGCTGTATTCTATTTCTAAATAAAAAGGCATTTATGAAACCCTTTAAGAACATGATTTGAGGGGAAACTTTCTTAACAAGTGAGAGAATAAACAGTTTCAGTGGCTCTGCTTTTCCCTTGTGCAAATTTAATAATGAGCTGCCTTCCTTTTAACTTAACGCCCCTTTGAAATAGAAGGAGATTGCATTGGAAACATTTGGCTTTATATGGTATCTGTTTGAATGGTAACGCAAATATAAGTTCTGCTAAGTTACTGCAAATGTAGCATTTTATCTTAGTTTACTTGTACTGGTGTAATCTCACATAGAAATACTCTAAATAAAGCATTTTAAGTCAGCAGTTGAAGTCGTTCCTCTCAAGTAATCTGGCTATGAAAAAGTTGCCGATGGGTTTTGTGCAACATTTATTTCCAGAAGAAGGAATGTTTTTGTTCGCCCTATGATTCCCCTTCAGTCTTTATGGCTGGTTTAGTGGAAATGTTCAGTTGTCAGAAGAATAAAGATGGTGTATTATTTAGATCTTACCAGACAAGTGGGATTTGTTCCTTCCATTCCAGTTATCAGAAAGATTAACCCTTTGCCCTCACGGTCCTAATTGCAGTCATTCAGAAACAAAGACGCTGCTTGTACAAAACAGCAGCAAAATGGAGTATGTGCCAACTGGAATGTTTCTCGGTGAATGAGGGTTGCGACTATTACATAAATTTTGTCTTGCATTTCAGGCACCGATAAAAGCAACCTGTGAAGATATGTCATGCAAGACTGGATTTCCTGAAGATGTTCACAGTGCAGTGGTGTCAAGGAGTGTACATGGAGGACAGCCTCTTCTCAACGGTACGGTTAGAAAAGATGGGTTTTGGTTTTTTTGTTTTTATTTCTTGTAGTCATAACCGTAAATCACTCTGGAGCATTTTCATCCTTAAATAGGGCACAGACTCTTGCAGGAAAGAATGTCAGCTGCTCTGTGATTATTTTTTGATTACTGTCATAGGACTTGGAAAATCTGTTGGCCCTAGCGGTAGCACATGCACCTCTGTTGAGCGTAATTTGAAAATACTGAGCATTGCGAACCTTCCTGTGATCATCCACTAATTCTCTTTCTCACCACAGCATTCACACTGATGTTTCTTATTACCACTGACAATACATATGCCATCAATCTATACTTAGAGCCCATGTACGAATGATGAGGAGGTAAAGAAAATTTCCCTTCTGCTTTACATCTCCGATAGAAGTACTGCACTTACACCCAGTCCTGTAGTGCTCACATTAATGCAGTGATAGTTCCCTTACTGCTTTTTCCCGGCAACCTGAGGAGAGACACCTGTGGAAAGCAAGACACGGGACAAGCAGCAACATGAGAGAGCGGTTGCTATGAGCCCTCGGTCGGTGACCGCAGCACTGTGGGCTTTGTGAGGAGCCGTGCCAAGAGATGCAGGACAGTGCCGGTGCTGTCTCTTGGTCAGTGTGCTGCTCTCTCACCCTGGCACCTGTCTGCCTTTGAATGGCACGGTGCCCAGGCTCCCGTGCTCACGGCGTGCTCGGCAAGTGCAAGCCCTTGCCTCCACCAGGGATGCAGTGCAGCCAGTACATCTGCCCGCGGGTTGTCCAGGTTGGGAATTCGGTTCGCTGCTCTTTTTGTGTCTTTATTTTTCAGGGATAGAGTAGTCATCTGTAGGACACAGAGGCACATGCTCTGAATCTTTCCTAGATTGCCTCAACCAGTTAAGTTTCAGTATACAAGTTTGCAGAAGTAGAACATTCTTAAAAATGTGCATTAATTTGGCTGTCTTCTAAACGGCTGACATATTGGGTTTTTTCCATCTAATTTGGGAATTGTGGAACTGACTAAGAACATCAGTTTTAGACGGTTTCAAATACATCTTAAATAAGGACTGATTTAATTTAATTTGTTGTTTCTTTCATATATAAATATGGTTACACAGATCAAGACATTTAAATGAAAAAAATTCTAATGAGTCTGCAAAACAAATGAAGTGAGAGCTGTAGTCTTGATTTTTACATGCTGTATGTAGCAGTCTCTCTCCTTAATTATATTTTTACAGACCTGTTTTGTGCTTTTTTTAGAAGTATAATGGAAACTTGAATGCAGGATGAATTGATTAGCTTTAGTGTATTTAAACTTGAGTTATTAAAGCTTTTTCTGTTCAGTTTCAAGGAAGTATATTCTACCACCACAGACTTTTCTTTTATTAAAGAATAGCTTAGAAAATCATGTATTAAAGTAAATGTTCTGCCAATTGAGAAAATAATAAAGAGGAAAGAGAATTTTCCTCGCTTTCCCACCAAATGTGAGTTAATAGATGACTCTACTGTAGACTCCTGCAATAGCCATCAGCACTGAGAACTACTTTGGTAGGTGACGCACAAAGCCGCAGAGAGGGGCAGAAACAGGGACAGCGAGCACAGCAGGCAAGTGATTTCCAAAGGTGCTGCCTTGAAACCACCAAATGTTTGTTACTGGTTAATTATCATGCCATCAGTTCATCTAAAAATGGAGATCACACGAGTTTTGAGATCTACCCTGTCCTGTGAAAATTCTCTTCACTCTTCATGGAATCAAGACCCTTTCTGCAATTTCTCCCCCTTTTTTTTTCCCCACCAGCTAGGAACTACAGTGGGCTGTCCACTAATTCTGTCTTGGCATTGCTCATGCAAATCTGATGATAATGACTGACCAGCCTTAACTGAGTCTGAACTAGTAACTAGTAGGATGGCAGGCTGACTTCCTTTCTCATTACTCATCGCATTCACACAGTCCCTTCCCTTGCTTCTCGGAAGTGAGTGAAGCATGACTGTTGGTTTGTCCTTGAATGGTATTAAAATGCATAGCATTTTAGGGAAGTAGGAATTGGAAAAACTGTAGGAGGCATACAGTATGTATCACATCGTATCAGCTGGTTGAAAAATGGCCTGGGGGAGTTTGTTTCCTACCACTATTTCCTCAGTTGAATTACCGCAATGGTTAATTCTTTTGAAAATTCTGACATGCTTAAAAGCATATCATTTGCTGGTTACGCATAAACATACGGTCTGTCATTGCATAGCTTTGACTTAAATTTAATTACACTGTCATTTTGAAATACTATTGTTGTCAAAAGCCTATTTTCTGGTTATTAAACTAGATTCAGGTGATGCTGCAAGTTGAGTATAGTTGCGTGACATTTGCTTCTTAGGAATAACCATGTGCCTGATTCTGATCTTGGTTGCCTCACCTGTCTAACTGAATGCTTATACTAGTATGAATTCAGAAGTGAGGTGTATGTTGTAGGTTTTCTATATGGTTTAGAAGTGAAAGCTTTAATTTTCTTTAATTTTGTGCATTGATATCACAAGCACAGAGGCTTTATGGTCCTCTCAGCCAGCTGCAGAATAATTTGAACCTGACTATGCTTTCTTGACAAGTTAATTCTTAAAATACTGACCAAGAAAATGACCATATGTTTATTATCTGGCTTGTTCCTTTGCTTTTATCTCGCACAGTAGGGAGCAAGCCTCTCAAGGTCTTCAGTTTCCATCTTACTCACCAAAACTTAAGTAAAATTAGAGTTATCATATGACTTGTTGATGTGTGCCTTTCAGTTACAGTTACATAGGATATCTGGTTCTTAAAGTAGCATTATAAGAAATATTTACCTTGCAGTATGGGGCAGGGTTCCATCATGCACTATAGGATACTCTATTTTCTGGAGAGGTTTCTCTTTCTATTTCTGTATTCAGGTGGTGCTTGTTTTTGAGGGAGGGTCGGACTTGTTCCTATTACATTTAAAAAAAAAAAAAGTCTTTATAATTGACAACGGCTTTGTCTTTTCATTCATAAGGCTAGGATAATATGTTAGCCTCTACTATTTCTCCTTCTGTGTATGAGGGTATGAGAGACCACTGTGTCTTCAGTTGTCACAATATGTGAAAAATCGGTGGAGCAATACATGGAGAATAACACAAATTGGAAAAGGGAAAAAACCTCACATTTATTAATGTCAGTAGAGGGAAGGAAAGAGAAAGATAGCTGCCCTTGGTTTCAGGATGAGGAAACAGGGCCTCTCTTGTAGAGAGGAGATGCAGTTAGTTGGGAAGGCACAGCAAAAGAAGTTGGAAGCTACTCCTTTAGTAGGTCTTGACTGAGCTGTGTAGGAGGTAGCCTGCAGTGTAGGCTATGTCCTGTTGCCTCCTCCTGGCATAGTGTCAACCGGTGTCCCGTGCTCCCATGTTCCCTGGTACAGACTTCACCAATTATAGCCTTGGAGACTCTTCAAATCTGATGTCTTCCACTTTGTCTTGCACAAAGTCTGGCAAGTCTGACTTCAAGATGCAGTATGCTCAGGTCAGTAGGCACATGTAAGCTAAGTACTATAGGTCTAATTTTGAATTTATTTATAATGTTTTAAGTGTTGTTCCACTCGGTACTGGTCACTTCAGTGGAATTATGGTGATTTTTACCAAGGAACTAGGTGAGCTCAGAACTAGTACCTTCATCTCTGTAAAGGGAGCAAAAAGAAAGTAATACTCTCTGAAACAGAATTAAAAGAAACTTCACTCATTTCTAAAAAGTGTCTTACTGATAAAATTGTGAAGTTATTTGGGCCTCCAGATCTTTTAGAATTTAATATACTTTTAAGTATTTTGGGACTAAGTGTTCCAACATTTTAAAAAAGAAAATCATATGCAAATAACAACAGCCATCACCTAGTAGAAGTAGGTATCTAGCCCAAATTTACAGGGACAGTACTTCTGAATTGTTTCTGTAAATAAAGTACGATTACTGTCTGGAGGACCATATATAACATGTAGTATTTGAAGAAAAAGAGGTTGTTGGAGTTATGTTTAATATATTAAATTCCCCTTCTTGTGCTGGTTTTATTGCAGTTCATCCAGGAAAAAGTACTTGTGGCAGTTTGATATGTATGTCCAGCCTGTTTATCTAGTCTTTGTTCTATATCCTGCAAATTTTAAGATACAAGTAATGCATTTCTACTAAAATCATTCACCTAGGCAGGTTACTTGAATGGTTATTTGCAGAATCATATCTTAAAGTTAGAGATTCTTACTCCGATAATTTATTTTAGTGCTTTCTTATCTTTCAAAGACTTTATTTTAGCATTGTCTGTCCTAAACGCATTATTTTTGTTCTCTGCTAAGCAAATTCATTGTCTAGACAGGATTCTTAAATGTATCCTTTTGAGCGTTGTGTAGCTATAAAATATTTCTAAGCTCTTTGAGTTGCACAATGATAAAAAAATGTTTTGGTGTTGATCACTGAGATAAGCGATGATTATGGATGAGTAACAGCGCTGTTTCGTGAGCCATTTAAGCCGGAGTGAGCTGACAGCGTTGCCAAAAGAGGCACGCTTATGCCTTTCCTCCTCTTTGAGCCTGGTACCAAGTGCTCATGAAACCATAAAATGAATGGGGTTAACCAATTTATCTGGGGTAAAACTCGTATTCCTACTCTTTAGGTTTTTGCTGAAAGATTTTGTATGCTTAAACAGAGCTGTGGTGTCCCTGCTGCCTTTTCTTTTCTATCAGTGAAATGCTTAGAAAATAGTATTTGTTTTGATGCTCTCAAACTGAGTGACAAAATTTGATTTTGGCATTCCCACTGACTTATTTTGTAGTTTACCATTGAAAATACCAGTTGGTCTGAAACAACCAGAAATGCGTTGCTGGGAATGTGGTACTCAGGAATTGCCTGGCATTTGAAAGTAACTGATGTTTTTTTATGATGTGGGTGGTTATATGGGTGCTGTCTGTCCCAGGTGAAGCAACTCAGCTGTTTTTGCTGCTAGTGGTGTTTTATCATTCTACGTATTAAA